AGACGACCGCAAGTATGTTTTTATAAGCTTTAGATTACTAAAGCTTCTCTCTACGATGACCACAGTAATGAGTATAGCAAGTATTATTCTCACTGCAACACACAGATTCGGCATGATATCCTTTAACTTATTAGTGTTTATAACCTAATGACATTTATTGGAAGATTTACATCTTCAGAAAAAATCTTTTGCAATATTCTGTTCAGTCAATAGATCACAATTTTGTTTGGAAGATCCCAAACATGACATGGCAGGATGATGGCGCCCTTGGGCAACTACCCAATTGTCAGTACCTTGAGCCGGTCCTGCATGCAGAGACAGATAATGTTATCGTGAGTTAAATTGACCTTGATGTTCAATTCGTACAGTCTTCATGATCGTTGACTGTCACCAAACTATGCTTTCTCCAATCCCTTTTGCTCTCCAACATCGACAGACACATAAGTGGACACAAGAACAAATAGGGAAGACAAAAATAATGATAAGTTTACCTTAGTTATAATAGCAATGGATAATATAATATTCATGCTTAGGATGTTTATAATGCTATATTAGGATATGCTAATGGTAATGGTAACAGCAATAGTAATGGTAATATCAGCCATTTCCTTAATTTCACCGAGCAGCCAATTTTATGCAATTTATAAAATCTTACTATTAACACAATTCTTCAGAACAAAAAGTTTTCCCATGTCCAGTAGTTGTTATTGTTCTAACGAGTATAGATGGGTCTTTCCTAAAATTTTATTTGGAGTAGTGTAGAATATCAACATCTCGATTATATAATTTTCCCTTCGCGTTACATATGCTATCTATTTTACTTGTTACCGTTGTTGAAAGTCCTCATGTGATGGAGTTTCTGTTGTTTGGTTAAGTTCTTTGTGTTTCTCTAGCGTCAATGCAAAAAGTTAGAGGAAGGATAATCTTCGTGAAGACCTACTGACTTTATTCCCTCGTAGCCACCTTTAACCATCAATACGTAGTAGTATATTAATAATAGTAATATCATACTAAGCATCATGTTTTATTAATATTTTGTATTATAATTAACTGATCATTTCTTTTTACATATCGAGTTCAAATGGTATATGTAGATCAATAATAGCAAGCTGTGTAGTTGGTGTAAATATTATCAGTGTAGAACCCAAATTCCGAGTGTGATAGTTGCATTAATTTCACTCCTTTACTCTAGGGAGAAGATTGAATCCATCTTTTCTATCCGTATTTATCTATTAAATAGTAGAATAGATCAGGAGTAAGGTATCAAAATAAGAAAAGGATGACTCTGAATTCAGACCATCTTCCAAAAGATCACCGGTCACTGTAGAAAGACAAGACCCATTGCTTCGTATATCCATTGTGAAGATAAGAGTCCTGAAAGGAAATGAGAAAATGGATGATGATGATTTAATAAAATAACAAATTGCAACGGAGTAATAAATACATTTTTTTTAAATAAAATAAAAAATTAAAGTTAAATTGCTGAAAAATCCAATTCGGGAATATTTTATAATGCTGGACGCAGTAAAAATATAAACGAAAACTTATATACTATAAAGTAAAATTATCTATAAACATATTTCTCAGGAACTACGGTTATTCAGTGCATTAATATTGACAGAGAATAAGAGACGAGTAACGTATTTTTTGTGACCGCAAGTTTCAAAATTGGAGAAAATATTTAAAGTTTTGATAATCGCGATGAAATTTTGCGTGAATACACAAAAACCATAATAGTGATTCAATAATATATATATATATATATATATATATATATATATATATATATATATATATATATAAAGGGAAGGCATAAGAGCGAGAGAGAGAGAGAAAGAAAGAAAGAAAGATAAATATGCAGAGCTTATATATAAATATTTAAAAATTTATCTTACCCTGGCAAGTAACTCTGTCTGCGAAACGTTGAACGTTTTATTTACTATTCTTACTACACACACGCACACATACACACACACGCACACATACATATATATATATATATATATGATCATCACTCATTCTGATGATGACCAGCCCATCTAAACTGTAAGTGCATCAGAATGGATTCGATACCAACGATGCCACATTTTAGAGTTAGAGATTTTGTCCTACTATATATAACTGCATAGTGAACGAAGACAGCGTTTATGAAAAGCATCGTTGACTGATGTGCGTCCTGTGTCAACGATTCTGACCCATATAGAAGTGTGGTGAGGATAACTGCTCCATAGACACTGACTTTCATTTTCAGTGAAATTCCACGAACATCCCATAGGCGATGCTTAAGCTTCCCAAAGGCATTGTTTGCCTTTGATATTCGGTTAACTATCTCGCCATCCAAAGAGGCACTTGAATTGACTTTATTTCCTAAGTACGTGAATGATTTCACATACTTCAGGTTGTTGTTGCCAACAGTAATGGGAACGATTGGAAAGGGTTTTTTTTTGTTTTAGGATACACCTAAGCAGGTCAAGTGTGACCTGCTTAGGTGTATCCCTTG